TGGGTGAACACCCCCAGCTCTCCCAGCCTGGCTCCAGAGCAGAGGGGCTCCAGCCCTCAGAACATCATTATTTCTTATATAATTATACTACAACTCTTCTGGTTTCAGATCTTTGCAGTTGAAAAGCCCCAAGAGGTTGGTGGAGCCGGAGCCAAGTGCTACCCGAACTGCTGTTGCTGTATAACCATTCTATTTCCTCACATCATTCATAAACACAAAGACACATTAGATTTCAAGAAAAAACAAAAAACACAACACAGTGTACATCAAAGGAAGTATCTAAGTGCTTCATAGTGAACACATCTCTGGCCTGGAGGGATTTATACTAGAGACAAGGTTTTTCTGTACTACTGTGGTTAAAGCAGAAGATGAGTTTTTCTCATTAAAACATGAATACTCTCCAAGGGGACACTGAGGCACTGCTCTGGAAGCAGTTCAACCCAACTCCAAACCAGCTGATGTGGCGCTCATAGCACCCAAGCACAGATTCTGGTCAGGATGGAGCTGCTCTGGTACTCAGTTTGCTGGGCAGCTTTTTCAGACTGACCCTGACACAGCTACACAACTATTAACACTCAGCCACTTATCCTCGAAGAACGTGTGCTTGAACTGACGCCACTTGTTTTGTTCTGGGTCAGGCACGTCTCCAGAGGAACTAAGAGAAAGGTTAAAGGTCTGGAAACTATCTAAATCCTCCCATCCAGGGAGGCAAAAATATCACAGGTACAGTGTCGAGAGGATGACGCTGTTACAGACTGTGAGAACAAGCAAGGACGAAGGCGAACAGACAGAAGTGGGACAGAAAGCTCAGATCCACGTTTCCATTGTGGTGAGCATGAACAGACAATTAAACATTGACTAAGCACCAGAGACAGAAAGGGCTGTAGCTATGGAGCAGATCATACAACCGATCTGCGGCACGTCATGAAAAGGTTCTGGAAGGCACAAACAACCAGCCTGAAATATCTGTCAGCAGAAAAAAAAGGTTGGAATCACAAGAAATAACAGACACGCTCCTGGTAGCTTTTTGTGTCTCTCTACTTTGATGGATTTTAATCCAGATATCACAAATCAGGCTACATAAAATTGAAGGGAAAAAAAAATAACATAAACCACTAAATATTAATAAATAGTTTTCTTGTAAAGTTAAAGATTAATCCGCAAGTGCTCCTATTAACCAGAAAGTAGCACCAATAAAAACAGGAATAAGCTACAGTATATTTAAATCACAGATGTACAACACAGGTCAGATGCCTTCAAGTAGCCTAATGCTGAATAGCATAATGCAGAGTAAAGCATATACTTGCATGATATAAAGCCATTAATGGCCAGGAATGTTTGTCTGGTTTCAACCAAAGACTACAGACATGAGAAAACAAGTCATTATTGATCACTACACACTGAATTCTGCAATTTACATTAATGCTACAACAGTATATTTGTGGGCAGGTTAGTTATGATGAAGACTTAGGTGATTAATGAAGATGAGTATGGTTATTGCCTCTTCTTTAGTTCCTTGCAGATTTAACATTGTGCCCACTACAGCTATAAAAACCCAAACAGCACAAACCAAGCCAATTAGATCTTACTGTTGCAGTAACTCCTTAGTCCTGCAAGATGAATTGAAGCGTTTGGGGTATTTTTAATAGCAAAATATAAAGTGGATCAACTATTTAAAAGGAAACCATTTAAATTGACTTCTTTTTCAATAGTCTTGGGCAGCACTAACATTTCCCTGTCTTAGCACATCATCTGTTTGGCAGTTCCTTGCTGTAACAAGGATTTTATTTTGCAAGCAATAAAATGACTAATTAAAAAAAATTTGCTTGTCCACAAAAAGTCGAGTTGGTTGACTGTAGACCATGAATTGGCATATGCTAATATTATTCAAGAAAGAAAAAGGAGGGCACTTAAAAACAACAAAAACACTTTTTTTCGACAGTAAGTTGGTTCAATGTATGTTGTGAACCACAAAACATGAATTTCTGGTTTCCAATAAATGAGTTTCTAATATCTAACCTCTACTAGCATGCATCTTGATGTCATTTATGCCTTCACTACACTGCACCAAATCTAGTACTTTACAATTATTTTCACACCCAGAGAAAGACTGCAAAGACAAAACAAAGCTGACTCAGTATAGAAGAATGTCCTCCGTGAAGTTACAAAAATTATATTCATCATTTTCCCCCTCCTTCTAAGCCCACAACTGTTTCTTTAACCACTAGAGGATCATGGAATTGGCAACACGATTCTAACCCAGGTATTTTACGCCCAGGATGGAGAAAGGTGCTTGCACACAGATAACCTGGACACAGTCAGTGGCCAAACCCAGGAGTAACTGGTGTGAGGATGTTGCTGTGTGGTTTCAGACTGAAGGAGGGTCATGAGAGGAAAAAAAACAGGCTACGAAGGATGAGAAGCAGGAGAAGGTTAACTGTGGGAAAGGGTAAACTTCTGCTCATATTGTGTATAATTATCACTCCTGCTGAATCACAAGGAAGGAAAAGGGGGGTGGATTTAAAATATGGTGCTTATAAGAGTTTGTTGATCTCCTGCTGCTGTGTAAGCGACTACAAAACAGTCATAACTTAATACATGGTCACGTAGATGACTGTAGTATCAAGTTAAACAATGTAAAAGTACAGTAATTATTTTAGGCCTCAAATTTCCATATGAAAAATAAATGTTTTTTAAAACCAGGCTCCCAGCTCCTTTCATCCTAAGTAGATTTCAGTTAGGCTACTTCAGCAAACTTATTTTAAGCATTATGTGGTATTTAAAAAGCACTGAGCAACATAAAAGTGAATTTTCAATTCTTCCATTCTTCTTTCAATCCTTATCCTGTAAAGATTACAAAACACAAAAAAATAACACAATACAAAAATGACACTGAAGTTTTCCACAGGTGTTGATTGCTCAAAACTTGCCTCTGTTCCATAACAGACTAAGAATTTGCTCTATTCTGATTTGTACTGCACTCTATCCATGTACCTGATCCTACATAAACCAGAGGATTGATTTGATATAATTCAGGGATCAGATGGGCAAATATGCCATTTACTCTACCAACTCTACTGTGTTGAAGTTTTACCTATAGTCCAACTTCATATACAGGCAAATAATATTAAAAAAAAATAAAAAATAATCAACCAACTGTTTGGGCACAGACAGAAAAAAAAATCTCTATTTTCTAACAGGATGTGGTACTTATTTTTTCTCCTTTCCCAGGCAGGAAATTAGGAAGCTCTTCATAAAAGGCTGCTCCTCTCAAAGGTTTAAATGACTATACTTAATTTGCTGGGAGAAGAGATGGCACTTCAGGTACTGCTGAAAGAACCAAGAAAACAAGTGTAGGCGTACGCTGAGGGAGTTGTTAAGGGAATGGTTCAGGAGTGAAGGGGCTGGAAGTGTAGGAAGAGACAAGAACAGACGTAGGCTGAAACCTTAAGAGCTTGCATTAAGAAATGGAAACTTAAAATACAACAAGTAAAAAGTTGTGGGGGATATGATACCAGCGGTGTCACAGAGGGAAGCTGGAGTCTGGCAGTATGGATGGACTTCACAAATCAATCAAATAACCAGAAGAGGGGAAGGAAGCTGTTCTGCCTGTGGCAGCACTAAGGCAGACAGACACTCAAGAGATCAGAATAATAACAACATGATCAGGTAGTAAGTAACAGGTATCAAAACACAGAGCAAGAACAGCAAAACTACAAACCAGACACTGAAAACTGCTGCAGAAAAACAAGTTCGGTGCCGTTTTCTCCTGCAATTGAAATGAAGGAAGAGAATGTACCTGACGGAACTCTGGAATGAAACACTGTAAAGAACAACTTAATTAATCTCGTCGTTGATTAAGCACACAGCAAACCAAGCCACCACTTTCTGACGCGTTTATGTTACAAAGGCAACCCAAACACGCAGTGGTCAGCCCTGGAGAGCAGGAGATGGTGTTCCAGCAGCACCGGGAGCTGTGTGCAACAGACGTGCTCTTGTACTGCCTCCGTGAGGAGAGCCCCGTGCACTGCCACGGACTGGGAAGGATTTTCTGGCAGACCACTTGCAGCCTGAACTTTAATATTCCCTCGGGACACTGCCAGTGAATGGATTTCACAAAAGAGCAAAATAAATAGTATCGTTTTTAACAGCAGCTGACTCGCAAAGCGTTATTTAGTTTATCGGGGAGAAGGAAAATAACGTCTACCTTTACTGTTAGCACTGTATTATGTTTTATTCTTATTAGGTGGAAACAAAAAACCTTCAGGAATAATTTTTATGTGTAATACACACACCAGTAAAACACATCTGGCGTGGGGAAGAGAGCAACCACCAACCAAAAGAGAGTATATAGCATAACAAACACGAGAAACTTTTTTCTGAACAAAGAATGGCATCGAGTCTTTCCTATTTTTCAGGCAGTATTTCTCTATAGCAAACAGTCCACACGTGAAAGGTCAGAACGTAGTCATACTAATCAGGAAAAAATATTAGTCAACTTACTGGGAAAGGCATTCATTACAATGTGTTACAAAAATTCCTATCTGGGTCACTCCCTTACATCACAGAACCCGTCTTGGAGGGACCCCTTGAGACCACCTCGTCCAAGCAGAGCTACAGAGCAGGTCACCTCGTCCACTGAGTGATTATAAAAAATAAACCAAGCATATAAAACTATTTCTTCCAACATTTTAATTAATTGTAATCATGTGATTTATCAAATTGGGCACTACTCGGTTGGTTGAGGCTTTTCTAATATGTCAGTAAAAAAAACAAACAGGGACTAAGTGATCCTTTCACCATCTGCTGTCCTGCAGATTCTAACACATCCTGAGATGGCCCATGAAGGATTACAATCCAAGCAGGCCTGCAGATAGCTTTTCTACACTGGCACCACTTGCTGAAAAAGAAATGGGCTACAGGTGTGTTTGCAAGAGAGGTCACATAGAAGGCAATACTTCATATGGTCTGAAGCACAAGTTATAGAAAGTCAGACTCACTTGCCACCCCAGATGCAATTCCATAAAGCAATCCTCCTCCATCTGTTTGCTGCTGAAAGACGTGAGTCCCTGGAGGGGGGCTTCTCTCTTGTCTAATGAAATTATACAGCAAAGTTTTCACAAGTCTGCTGGTGTATGGGAGACTGGAAAGAGAAGGAAAAAACAGCTTTAGTTGACTCACAACTGACAAAGCCCAAGCAGGGTGCAAAGGCTGGAGTTTTGGCATTAAAGACAGTCAGTAACTCTCCCCACGCTGGCCAGACTGGAAAGGGAAAGAACACCAAGGTTTTGCCCATGCAAAGATGCCCAGACTCCAGCAGGGCTCTGCAGGAGCACCTTCCCACAGCAGGGTCATGGAAACCACCTTTTGTTTTCTTTTTTCAATACTGCTTTAAAATAAACCATTTAGTTTGTTGAATCATTGTATTCACTTACCTCAAAACACAACCGGAAAAATATTTATGCAAGGGAAAGAAACATTGTATTTGTTCAGTTTTCACTCCATGCTTTTTTTACACAGAACAGGTAACAACAGCATCTCTCCATGCCCACAATATTTCTGTCTATGTGTGCAACTTGGACCAGTCTTAAAGATCTTCTCCAATCTAAAGGATTCTACAATTCTATGAACTTGCAAAGACCAATGAAACAACCGACTTCATATCAGTGAATTTGACAAATGCACGTAAAATCTGTTGGGTTTAAGTGAAAGTTCATAATATTTCCTAACAGAGGAGGATTTCCACAGAAGCAAACAGATAGTGTGATTTAGAGGTGAAAAGATAAGAGCTGTGTTAGGATGAACCCTCTAACCACCTGTAGAAGCCCAGAAGATAAGGGGTTAATGAGTATGTCCCAAACACCAATAGCTGGCTGTTGAACCAACCAAGGCTTTTTGGGAATCCTAGTCAGGGACTGTTGGTAACAACCTGCATGAGAAAAACCAGGATGTGGCTGGAGAAGGGGCCCTGTGGAGGGAGGGCAGCACACACATCCCTGTCCTGGCACAACACAGGGGCAGGAATGAGGCTGAGAAACAGGCACGGACTGTAGGGGGGGATCAAGACCACCCAAAGCCTCCAGCCCACTCCCAGAAAGGTCTGGAAAAACAGACTGCACATGAGAATTAATTTGCATGGAAAGTGAGAAACTTCTCTCCAGGGAGGGGAAAACTTAAAAGGTGCCACCAGGAAGTGTGGGTGGTGCCCCAGGACCTGGACATGCCATCAGCTGAACAGACAATGGAGCCAGGACTGGTGAATTCTCTTTCTCCCTTCCTTTCTCTCTCCCCCTCTTTGATCCATCTCTCTCTCTGTCTCTCTCTGCCTCTCTTCCCTTTCACCCCATCACTTTATCCACTGCTGCATGCTCATACCAGGAGACCAGGGACTAACACACCAATCCCCAGGCCAAGCAATAAAGCTCTGTGAGTTTTTGCACACCCTCTGACTTTTGTTGTTCCTTTTGCCTCATGACCATCTACAAACCCTGTGTGCTCCCGTCTCCCCGGGGGGTGGGACACCACACCAGTACCCCTCCAACTCTTCACATTGCTCTGGGCTCCCAGGAACTGAATTCCCACCCCTCTTCCCAGGGGCCAGGCACCTGCTAATCCCAAACCAGATCTCTTAGACCACACACTAACTCTTCTCCCAAACATTCCCCATTTCCCCCCAAACCCTCAATTCCTTCAGCCCAGAGATTTAAGTATCACCAGACCCCACACATCCTGAGGCTCTGCCTCTACCCTGCTGGTGTTTCATGTTTGTCTCTCCTGTGCTCCAAGCTGAGCCCCCTTCCTTTCATGTCACCCCAGAGCAGTATCTCCCTTTTACGAGTAGTAGTATCTTCAGAAAACAAGATGACAAATATACTCATCAAAAATCTGCCCACGTGGAACTTAAAGTTGAAAGAGGATGAATGGGAGCCTAAAATGCATATAAGCCACTGTGACAAAGCATTTAAACACAACCACCAACTTGCTAAAACAAGTGGTATTACTCACATAACTGAGTTTACCACCTGCCAAGTATTTCCTTCAGCTCAGCATAGCACATATTTGCATCTTTCCAAGGACTGCCTTTTTATTATTTGTATGGTAAGAAGGCTCTAGCACTTCTGAGGTATGTGGGTTCTCTAGGCTGGAGTGTTACAGGAAAAGCCCCAGAGCTGAATTAAAAAAAAAAATCCTGAAAAGGAAATGCTGTTTTAAGTTAATGAAATTACCCTCAAAAATAGAAATTATTTCCAAGATAGTTTTACTGAAGTCTGGGCTGCGAGATTTAAACCTGAAACCCTCCAACAGCCTTTACAAGTGTTTGCTTTCATGTTCTCTTTTCTTTTGAGCAGAACAAGTCTTCTATCAAAATGTATTTTGCTGCCTTTTGTTTCCAGGTACAAACAACCTAAACAAGTGATCAGAAGCGTTGGCTCTGCCATCAGGCACCAACACCAGAGCAGGACATACCATCGGCCATGCATCAGGTATCTGTGGATGATGCTCTCTCGCAGAATCTCTTTGTGGAATAACTGGCAGGAGAGGAACACGATGAGAGTTGTCACAGCTTCCAAAGAAATACTGTATGTAATATCTCTGCAGGAAAAAGGGAAAATTTGCAGGGATTAATCTGTTGGGTTTGTTTACAAGCTGACTTCCAAGAACACTTGGTAGCTTCACCTGAAGTTATAGACTGCGTAGCACAGAGAGTTTCAATTGGGAACATGTAAACAACACATTCAAGAAACCCAGAACCACCTCATACCAAAACAGGGTTGTTTTTCTCAGACATAAGTTTTTTTTTTGATATGCCAAAAGAAAAAAACAATGTAAAAACGCTGAGGTATCGCCCAGAACACTAGAGTTGCAATTTTCAGAGTACGCGTCTTCCTAAAAATAATAAATATCTCTCAAGAGTGCATCCTTTGTCCAGCTAAATAAAATTGTCACAAAACCATTATGCAAAATCAGGGAATGTCCATCTAGCCAAACAGAGCTCCATCTCCCAGGAAAAGTGGACTCTTATGAAAGGAATATAATATACAAATGCTAGTTCAAGTGTACAAAAAGCTCAGAGTATCACATACATTGTTCAGTTTTAAATGGTATTTTCGAGGTAACAGTGAAGTAGAAAGTCTCAAGATATTGCACACAATCCCAAAGAATGCGCTGCAATGGTTAAATACTGACAGCAGACAGTTCAGCAAAGCTCTTTAAGTTAAGGTTGATTAGGAAAGGCTGTGCAGTAAAATGCACGACAGACCCACTATTTAGGATATCTTGTGCTTTCTGTTCCCACCTCTGCCTATAATGACTTTGCTACAGGTCTTATTTTTAAAAGGGAGAGGAAAATGGCATTTGCTACTGCAATCAGTAACAAACTGCAGGCTGCAAAAAACCTTTTAAAACACAATGAAGTAACTAGGACTTGAATCAGTATCATCCTTGCACCAAACAACAAATCAACATCCATGTGTGTTTAATTAGTGATGAAGTTTTTCTTTGTTACAACGTCTCCTTCCAAAAATTTTATTCTCAACAGATAAAACAGGTACAAACATAAAACCAAGTGCCCTTCCAAACGATGGTGACTTGAAAACTACAGTGCAACCTCCGGAACCAAAATAAATTAAATGCAGACAAGTCTAGATTTTCATTAGTCTCAGGATGGGAACTGGTGTGGTCCTTATCAGAACAAAAAGGGTTTCATTTAGAAGAAATCAATCTGATTTTTAACACATTCAAATATTTTAATATTCTCAAGTGTGCTGCCAGATGCACTGTAAATACCATGCATTACTGTGAAGTGTAAAAAGAAGTTTCTGGGTGCCCGAGTTTCTGAGCAGAGAGTGCAGTTATTTACTCAAAATCAACTGCAAACTGGAATCACAATTTCCAGGATCACTATCCACAGAACCGCAGGACCTCTTGATACAAAAATGGTTTTGAAAGTGAAGGTTATGCAAACTCACTGTTTTTATTTCCTCTCACCTGATTTGAGTATTTGAACCCCTAACAGCTCAAATTATAGGTCAGGAAGAGACGTACTGCTTGAGTGACATTCTCCCTGAAAATCATGAAGTCCATTCTAATTACGTTTTGTTTCTGTGAGTTACCTGACTTTTTGCCCACTCCTGAGGAAGTCTGCCAGTGTAAATGATGATAATTAGATCAGGCCAGAGGTTACACTCTGATCTGATTCCACTGCAAATTCACCTCAGCCAGAAGCAAGGCTGTGCTGGGAGCTGTGCCCGCTCCCTCTCCAAACCAGGGATGCTGTGAAATCCACCACCCATGCTCATCCCAAGCAAAGAAAGGAAGACATATATATATATATAAATTATCAGAGGTTTAGCCAACAGCAAAAAAAAAAAAAAAAAAAAAAAGAAATGTTTTTCTATCAAAGTAAAAAGAACAGCTTGGAAAAATACTTTTTAGCTATTAAAAAAAAAAATAAAATTGAGAAGCTCGACATTATTTACCAATTCTGAGAATACAAGAACGATGTCTCCCACCCCAAGCTGATGAATGAAAAGGGTAATTTCATGACACACTACAATATGTACTGGGACGCTCTGCAGAGAGGAAACAACCTTTGGAGTCTATTATACTTTTTCTCCATTTCAGTTATTCACTCCTTTATTTTTCTGATAAGCCATACAAGTGTAATAGCAAATTTGAGGAAATGTTATAAAATTATTTTCTGTTTTGATAAGAATCAGCATTAAAAAAATAAGCAAAGAGATTACTGTAGTGCACTAAGTAAATTTTTTTGGGGAAAAAATCTGCTTTCAATATCCTTACATAACTCTGAAAGAAAAAACAAACAGAAAGCTGAATTCATGCAGTCATAGTTAGTGAGTTTTTCTCATTTTCCCAGACAGGGCACATCTAACTGCAGAAAAATTCCACTCAACCTGTAGAATCTGTTCAAATTAAAACTGCTCTGACATAAACACAACCAGGCCCTGATATCTGGGGTAACCCCTCAGCTACAGTCATCTTTAATTTATCAGCACAAGGATAAAGCTTCAGAGCAAAATTATTTTCTCCACCAAGGGTCAGATGTATGGTTTTCTGAAACTCAAGCATTTCTAAAGGGTCACAAGAACCACCAGGAACCTCTTTTAACTTCAAAGAAAATACTGTTTATTTATATTTAGAGACTACATAATAGGGGGTCTTGTTCTTCATATTTTTTTTTATTCAAAGCTATTGGTCATACAGAATGATTTTACATGGAATTTATGCTGATCTTCAACTTCCTCTTAAAACTGATTGCAGATAAGGAGGAAACTAAAAATAATGAACTCATGTATCAATTACATGTCAAAATTATTTAGCTATTTATTTCAGAAAACCAGAACAACTGCATGTTGTTTTGAGCTTCTGAGGTTTGGTTTTTTTTCCTCCCCTTCTCAAGTGTCATATAAAACAAACAAAAAACCCGCAGGACTCAGATAAAGCTCATGTTCTGGATAAATGGACTTCATAGAGCAATGTACCAAAGCATACACAGGTTTTTTCTTTTTCTCCTTCTGGGTTTTCTGTTTCAGAGATTCAACAGTTATCCTCAATTTTTTCCTCTTTCTCACCTTTCCACTGGAGGATATATTTGCATATCGGTGGGAAAGCTATCAGATATTATTCTTTTGTCTCTCAAGATGTTCGTCTTTCACAAGGAAAGAATCTGGCACTGACTGAACTCTAGAAATGATGGCAATCATTTCTCTCATTGGGTTCCCTCCTTACTACAGGTAGCTGTCCTTGTACTGCATATTTTACTCAGTGACACAAAGCAAGTGCCTGTTCCTTGAACCAGATGGAACAGGTCCAGGTTCCTGCACATGACACCCACGTTAAAACTGGTTTCTGGCAACAAACCTTTCGTATAAACATTTACTTTCTAAAGAAAAGACGTCGTATATATCTGAGATTATCTTAAATTATAGATTCTTCACAGAATGCCAACTTGAGCTCCAAGGTACAATATTCCCCCGTACTGCCACAATAAACTTGTGCATATATTTAACACGTGTTCAGTATCTACGTTTCAGTGAGAAACGGATACATCAATGAACTCCTTCCAAAAGCAAATTATGCCAGATCATTTCAACGAACACTTTTAAATTAAGCAACCACATACAGTTTGAATTGCAGTAATCTTTCGATAACAACTCATTAAATCAAAAGATAAAAATTAGAATAATAGAATCACAGAGTGGTTTGGGTTGGAAGGGACCTTAAAGCTCATCCAGGTCCACCCCCTGCCCTGGGCAGGGACACCTTCCACTAGTCCAGGTTGCTCCAAGCCCCGTCCAACCTTAGCCTAACTACTGCTTCCAAATGGAACAGAACAAGAACTATGGTCCTGTTAAAACCTCAGCTCCCCAGTACCCTTGGCATCTGCTTTTTCCATTCAAAACCATGTGGATGACCTTCTATCAGCATCACCTACCAAGAACTTCAACAATCTCCCTATGTGTCACCATCCTGCTGCTGCTGGCTTCTCTCCAAGGCCAAGCACGGCTCACAAGTGCTTTCTGTGCTCCCAATCATTCAAGCTTTGTTCCCTGCCTGCGAGAGAGAGGTCTGTGACAGAGGAACCAAGGTGAAGCACAGAGGCACCATAGAGGAAAATCTCAGCTAGGAACTCCAATTAACACTCTGAAGGCACATGCTGTTGTAAACACTTTAATTACTCAGTGAAATGCAGCTATTTCTATATCAGCACAGAGAGGCTGAGAGCTCGTAAATGATTTCACACCTACAGAGCAAACAGCCTGAACAGTCAGAAACCAAACTCCGAATTTCAACTCCCACCCCTAGACCAAGCCCCCTCCCTGTTCAAATATTTTCCTGAACTTTCACCCAGCCAGAGCTGTCTACTCCGAGTATTAAAAGGTTAAAAGGTAACCCATTTTCTAATTTAGGAGAGTTGCCAAAAGGGCTGATTCATACAAAAACTCTCAAATCATACAGGAACCAGGTTTCATTTCCCTACTTCCTGAGGGCCCATCAGAAAGGTGAAAGAGGAGTCACCACAGAGAATAGGATCAGTTTTGAAAACTGAAAAGCAAGTCGAGTATCTGGTTATCAGTCTCAGGATACAAGTACAACAACTCAAAGAGAACATAATCTTTCCTCTTGGAGTCACTCCTAATTTTACACTCACTGATGGCACATAGGCACCGTGGCAGCTGATAATGCACTACACTCATTACAGCTGACTCCAAACATTTGGGAGCTGTCCCAAAGGGGCACTCAACAAACATTGACTGGAAGCAGAAAGTACCTCTGACACTTCCTACTGCATCTCCCCACACTGGGTGTTCTCGACTGGGAGAAGAACGAGAATGAGGAAACAAAACCTCTCAGAATGGTTTGGGTTTGAAGGGACCTTAAAAGATCATCGGGTTCCACCCCCTTCCATGGGCAGGGACACCTTCCACTAGAACAGGTTGCTCCAAATCCCATCCAACCTGGACTTCAACACTTCCAGGGATACAGGGGCAGACACAGCTTCTCTGGGAAACCTGGGCCAGGGCCTCACCACCCTCAAAGACAGCAATTCCTTCCCAGTATCCCATCTAAAC